GGAGGCTCGGTATCAGAGGCGGGCTGGGAGGTGGGGGCGGAAAAAGGTGATGTGGAGCAAGCTTCGTCGTCGCGTTTTCTTGTTAGGCGTTCTTGGAGAGGACGGGGCGCGCTGCTGCTCGCAAGACGAATCCGGTGCCACGCTCGGCCCCAATTGGGGAGATGCATGTGAGCATGCGCCTGAGGACAGGTCTTTGTGTGACGAGGTTGCCCAGTTTATCCCTCGGATTTCTGAATGCGATGTTCGGCTTACTTATTTCGTGGATCAGAACACCTTTGACAACGCGATGCTCGGTCGTGAAGATATTGCCCCAGTGCCTGATGGTATTCCTTACTCTTGCTGGCGTCTTCCTTCTGCTCTGAACATCCTCTGCGACGTCTACGCGCGCAGCTACCATAACGGAAGCGCTGACATGCCCGCCAGCATGCGCGAGATATCATTCATTTTCCCCCCGAAGGGCACGAGCCCATCGGTTGCTGTCTCTGGAGCTGTGCGAGCCCCTGCGAGCGCGCGCCCTCTCGCGCTCTCGAGCGCGGATTGCAGGTGCCTTTCGCTCGCCGTGTCCGCCCCGCTCCTTTCTGTCGCTGTTGTCGCAGTTCTTGAGAACCAGAAAAAGGGGGGATGAGAGGGAGGGGCGCGATGGCGAATGCGGTGGGGGCGGAGGCCAGGGGGATGGACATGTGGCAGCACTGGTAGCAGGCGCGCCGCCGAGCTGCTGACAGATTTCTCGGCTCCGCCCCCCTCGACCTTTGCTAGCTGGATCGTCTTCGCATTGTCCAAGATGGCGTTCCCAGAGGCCTCCGTCGCTTTTTCAAGCAACTCCACAGTGAAAGCAAAGATTGGGTGACTCGAGGAGGCCGCCGCATTGTCCAGATACTCATCGAGCGTGGTGTTAGACAAGGGGGCCCGGCCTCGATGATCCTCTTCTCGTTATGTACTGACCCATAATGAGGTGGCTGATCTGGAAGAGCGGCCACCATGTGCATCGCATGCTTGCCTACGCTGATGACTGGCTCCATATGATCCCCAATATCCTGGCTGGTCCCCCGCGGGTCCTTGATCTGATGTTTCTTTTTGGGCCTATGGTTGGCCTCTATCAGAAGTTTGAAGTATGCGTTGTTCTCTTGGTTGGGGATGCCAGCCTGCACTTGTTTTCCAGGCCCTGCGAGGATCAAGGTGAGCCTTGCGCGCTGCTGCAGGTGACCCATTTTTGCAAGTACCTCGGCATCCTCGTTTGCCCGAAAGCATACAAGCACGCTTGGGACGAGGCGTTGCCTGCACTCACAGCCCGCTATCGAGTGATCCGCCAGCAGGGTCTCGGTCTCCCAGTCTCTATCTCATCGTACCAATGCCTTGCGCTATCCATGCTCCAATTCACCCTGCAGTGTTATCCCCCGTCTTCCGAGATGCTCGCTGCTAATGATTGTCCTATGCAGTTGTTGAACGCCGCGCCGCGTCATAGCTTTTCGAAGCAAATGCTTATGGGTTTGCGCAGTCTCGGCATCAGCATCGAATTTCCGAGTCGATCTGTGCTCGCGAGCGCCAGCCAGCTCCGCCTGCTTGTCAAGCGCGCAATTCCCAGGCCGGCCATAGATCGATTGCAGGGGGCGAGGAGGAGCGATGGGATGTGCTTTGCTCGGGGTATGAAGGGCTGGTGGAAGCACAGGTTCCTGGCAACTACAACGCAGAGTGCCACTGTTTATGCTCTGTAGTCAACATGCTGCCGCCTGACATAGATAAGAAAAGGATCCATAAGTGTTTCTATATACAGCTGAAGCTGGCGATCCCGACCCCGCTTGAGCATTGCCCGCAATCTTGATTGTTGCAAAGGTTGCGCGCGTGGCGTGCTTGCATCGCACCTACACGTGTCGAGCAGCTCATTAATCGTACTAAATATGTTGTCAAGAAATCCTAAGCGTACATTCGTGTCTCGATTATTCGTATTGCGTGTCGTGGTATATGCAGTACCCCTCGGTTTCATTGTGTTCCTCGTGGATGTGTTTTCGGATGTGCTCGTCCTGACATCGGTGCTGACTCGACGATTTGAAGCACTGCAAGTCTGACTCGAATATCTACTATCTGTTGGTCTCCCACATGGATGGCGGTTGGTTACCCGAAGTCTCTCCCACTGCTTCCTGCCCCTCTCCTGCTGCTCTGCTCCGTTAGGCGAGTTGTTGTGATGCTTCTGTTCACGCAAGGCTTCTTCTGCACTCGAGAAGGCACCCCGCCATTCGAGTGGCATGGAGCGAGGTTCGACAAACACAAAACGCTGGGGGCAGCGGGGGCTGCAAACCAAAAAACATTACCATCAGCATCACCACCATCATCCTCATCTCATTCGTTATCATCATCAGCATCATCATCGTCATCATCATCCTCATCAGCATCACCATCCCCTCTCAGCATCATCATCTTCATCCTCCTCCTCCTCATTATCATTATCGTCATTATCGTGCCGCTTGTCATTCGGGCGCTTTTTCGGCACGGCAATTTCGTGAGAGATTCCTCGACGCTTCGCATATCCCCATCAATCCATCCAGAAACAGGTCGCCAGGCGAGTTGCCTTGATCAAGGAAGTGTAGAAGAGTGCAGTGCAACAGCCGCTTTGGAACCGTTTTCTCGGAGGTCTTTTGAAGCCATTTTGGCGCTCTGTTGGGGTCCTCGCGGAGCCTCTTGGAGCGCTCTTGAGGCCCTGTCGGGGTTTTGCCATTGGGGCCTTCGCTGGAGCTCCTTCTGGGGCCACGAAGCGTGTGAGGGGTGTGCCGGATCGGTTGCGGGGCCGCCATGCGGACCCTGCCGTTGAGGCCTTCGGTGGAGCTCCCTACAGGGCCACGAAACTCGTGAGGGGTGTGCCGAATCGGTTGCGGGGCCGCAGTGCTGATCCTGCTGTGGCGCCTTCGGTGGAGCTCCCCATGGGACCACGAAGCGTGTGAGGGGTGCGCTGGGTCGATCTCGAGACCGCCACGCGGACCCTGCCGTTGGGGCCTCCGGTGGAGCTTCCTATGTGGCCACGAAACATGCGAGGGATGTGCCGAATCGGGTGCGGGGCCGCCATGCGGACCCTGCCGCTGAGGCCTTCGGTGGAGCTCCATATGGGGCCATGAAGCGTGTGATGGGTATGCCGAATCGGGTGCGGGGCCGCCATGCGGACCTTGCCGTTGGGGCCTTCGGAGAAGCTCCATCTATGGGGCCACGAAGCGTGTGCGGGGTATGCTGGATTAGGTGCGGGGCCGCCATGCGGACCCTGCCGCTGGGGCCTTAGGTGGAGCTCCATGTGGGGCCACGAAACGTGTGCCGAAAGGGACATGCGGAGAGCATAGGCAGGAATGAGAGGAGTTAGGAGGAGGGAGGAGAGGAGAGGAGGATACGCGGGGCGATGTGTCTTCACAACGAAGACCTAACATCACAAGGTGGTTGGGAAAATACAACATTGTGCACAACACGACCACCACCCCACCTTTCTTTCTGCGTCAGTTTCTGGCCGCTTTGGTTCGTCGGTCCGTGAAGGTCGACACCAGGCTAGCACGCCCAGCTCCAAAAAACATGCCAAGATCTTCAAGGATGAGGATCAAGTGTCCCTCCATCCGCGAGACATGCCGGGTGTCGACGTCTGGACTCACACATTTAGGCACGACATCCCATCAACCCTTTGGGTGTAGGTGGTTTAACGAGGTTTGTCTTCTCTCTGCCAACGCTCGCTCCTTCCCCTGCTCGTGTGTGAGCCTACCTCTCCCCCTGCCCCCTCTCCTGGGCCTGGAAGTGGCGCCACGCGAGGGGTTAGAGCGTCCAGGATGGTCCAAGATGGCTCCCAGGGGGGCCTCTAATAGAGCAAGATGGCATCCAAGATTGCTCCAGATAGCTCACGATGGGTCAATATATCCTCCGACACACATCCAAGAGGCCTCACGACGGTACCAAGAAGGTTTCAAGTGCTCTTCGAGCCCTCCAAGGATCCCCCCCAAAGGCCAAAATGGTTCAAAAACTATGGGACATCAGTGTTGTGCTGCCTTCTCGTCTTTTCGCTTCCGATGGGCTCTTGAGGCCTCACGGTGGCCCCAAGACGGCCTAAGAGAGCCCCAAGAAGTGTTCAAGAAAGGCCCAAGACGGTCCCAAGAGTGCCAAAGAGCGCCCCAGGAGCGTCCCAAAAGGGCCTCGAGGCGCGATGTTTGAGCCTCCCAAGGTGGGGGGACCTGAATTTTCTACCCCCGCTCGTTTAGAGTCATGGGGGCCAAGATGGCCCCAAGAGGCCTCCCTGACCCCCCCACCGAGCCCCAAGAGGGCCCCAAGAGGGTCCGCATGGCGGCCCGCAACCGATTCGGCACACCCTTCACACGTTTCGTAGCCACAGAGGGAGCTCTCCAGAAGGCCCCAGCGGCAGGGTCTCCTCTCCTCTCCTCTCCTCTCCTCACCTCTCCTCTCCTCTCCTCTCCTCTCCTCTCCTCCTCCTCCTCCTCCTCCTCCTCCTCCTCCTGCCCCCCATGATGATGATGATGATGATGATGATGATGATGATGATGATGATGATGATGATGATGATGATGATGATGATGATGATGATGATGACGGTGATGATGAAAATGATGCTGATGACGATGACGATGACGATGATGATGATGATGATGATGATGATGTTGATGATGATGCTGATGATGATGATGATGCTGATGCTGATGCTGATGCTGATGATGATGACGATCATGATGATGATGATGATGATGATGATGATGATGATGATGATGATGATGATGATGATGATGATGATGACGATGATGATCACGATCACGATGATGTTGATGATGATGAGGAGGAGGAGGACGCCGCCGATGAGGAGGACACAGAGGATTTGGAGGTGGATGTGGCAGAGTCGTTTTCAGAGACCACTGGTCGAGTGAGCGGTCCTCATTCTCCTCCTCCTCCTCCGCCTCTTCTTCCCGCCCCCCGTCCTGCTCGCTCCTCCTCCGCCGCCTCTCCCGCTTCGGCCAGCCCAGCCCGCCCCGCAGGTAAATCCGACCTGGCTGCAGGCGTTGGAGCGCGTGCTGGCGCGAACAGAG